ATTATTATTATATAAAATTTTCTCCGTGTAGAATAATGGAGGAGAGAAAAAGAAAATTGTTTTATGCATTCTTCCATTTCATTCCCGCTCATAAAATTTCAAACAATTAAGAACTGTTATCATTATTTTTATGCAGTTTCTAATCTAAAAAATTACGTAATTTTTCTTTACAAATAAATTATGTATTTTCTGTTTTAAAATATCCTTAACACAGTCGCTCAATAAGTTTCAATGATAATAGTAATAATAACAACAGTAATTAACATTTTAACAAATTCAGCGAATTAACAACTTATTTAACAAATTGACAATTATAACTTCAATTAACCACCCATTTATCACTCAAAGAAATATTAACGACATCAAACATTTTATAGCGCGTGTGTAAATGACAGGTGTACAATTATGCGATGCAAACTTCAACGTCGACATGATGAAGAGCACGTGTACAGGAGCACGGTTATGATTAAGCGGAAACGGTTCACTATATAAATTGTTAGCGACAAGCTCGACATAAATGACAATGCTGTGAAATGCCGCCTCGTATAAGATGTTCTAGGGATTCATAACTAATTGCCTCTCACATCTCGAGAGAAAATTTAGCCGCGATATATAGGTTTACTTCGCTCAACTACAAAGACTTGCAGCACCTCTGCAAGCTAATTTGCAAAACAAAACGTATATTCGTGGAATAAACAAAACCATTGTCACAGATTCAACCAGCTTCTATGTTCTCATTAACCGTTTAATATGATCCTCATGTTAAATTATGCACTAAGAATTGTCATAACATTAAACAATTAAAATCACCACATCTCTTTATAAATTATAAACGGATAGAACTCTAACAAACCAAGATTGTTTATCAAAATATCTTTTGCAGCCTAACACACGTACGCACAGAAATAGATAACGAGCTTTAGTAAATCAGTTCGATAAAACATAAGTTTATTCCCACTAATTTGATGTTAATAAAATAGTTTTCAATTATCTATTAATAAATGTAAAATGTGTGAAAATAATGTAGATATAAAGTAAAGAGAATTACGCCAAACAAAAACGTCAGAGATGACTGTATGCAATTGTATACGTAGTCGCAATAATAACTTGCTATTAATTGAGATAAAGAGATAAATAGATTTCTCGCTTATGTAGCATTCATTTATAAATTGTTTTATAAATTTATAAACTGATAACAAAATTAAGAAACTTTATTACATTAGCTTAATTTTGTTGGCAATTTTATGAATATTGGCCGTCAATTTTCCTACGATAATATTCTCGCCTCTGTTTTGCACCCCCCTCCCCCTCCCTTTATATTCTGCCTGCACTCCTGACAGCTACCCAATCCGCTAGACTCTCACGGGTCTATACAGATTCATTCCAACAAGCTGGAAATTTCTCATTGTTCGTGTGCAAACAATAAGCAGTAGTTCATAAATCAATTTGTTCACCGATCTGAATTGTCCATAATACTTATGTTAAGCTTCAATGAAAACTATATCGCACCTCAATAACAGTCTTGTCTATATTAAATTAATAAATATATACACATATATTAATATGTATGATATCCACATAGTATACAAATACTATGTGTGTGTAATATGTAATATTGTATAAAATCCCTTCCACAAACTTTCTTTTCACTCGCAAAGTACACTTAAGAAAATTTTTCGTGTTATCTCTTCAAAAAAAACTTCTTTGTCAGTGAACTATTTCACCATCGATATTTTAAAGTTAATTAATTAACGCAATTAACGTAAAACTAATATAAAGGCAGTTTAAAATAAACTTGAAGTTTGCGTGTTCTTAAGCTCCGGTTTTGTATGTATCATGAATTCTGCCCCTCCTTCTTGTCAAACTTTCAACAAATACACGCGCGACCCTCCAAAAAATTAAATGCCCTAAGACCTTGACATCACAAACTTAGAGCCATTATTGTCCTTAATATCAACGCTCATTTCTCACGATGATTAAACGAAACAGATCCGCGGAGAATATATCCTAGTTTAAAGCATACGGAATTTCTACCAAAATAAGGAGGAAGGGACGCTCAATACTACGCGTGAGTTTCGTAGCGAGTTGAAATTTTACGCGCTATCGCCGACGCGACGCCGTTTATCAAGCGCTCCTTGCCTTTTTCATGCTTTCGTGATTCGCAAGCTTGTTATTGCAAAAGTTACTGCGCCAAACTTGTTGCGCTCTGAGCTTGAAATCGTCTGATCATATGCCCTCCTAAAAATGACACGACTACAAATTGCCTTGTATCATGCAATCTGTATAAATTTATTTTGCAAATTTGCCGCACCACAATATGCGAAACAGAAACGCGAGATAAAACGTATTTTGTATTGTAATTATGAGCCATATATATATGATAAATCAATAGCTGAATTAAAAAGTAAATTGCTTGATAAGTTGAACGATAACTAAAATTTTTCCAATTAATTAGAAAGATTATAACAAAATAACAATTAAAAAAAAAATGATTTTTAACTACTATGCAGAAAAAAACTCTTTTCACGAAAAGCACGTCATATTTAAAAAATTCATGAATTTTACAAAGCCCAGAGAAAAAAATTATTTAATAAAAAAACGCGTCTGATAACAAGTCAATTATATCAATTATTATATTCATGTTATCAATAACTACGGTTTTTTTATTGCAATAACTAATTACGTATTCAACACCATTCTTTGAAAATTCGCATGTAGTCATACGTTTTTTGTAAAAATATTAAATAATTAATCTTATAAATAAGATTAAGTTGAAAATAAGCATAAATATAATACATTCAAATTATATTTCAAAAATTATATTCTCAAAATATTTTTTAAATCCCAGTTTTTGAAATAAATATATCATAATTTATGTTGTCATAAATTTTTTTACATACATGTATATTTATGTAATTTATATTTTCAAAATTTTAGAGGTTTACAATTTAAAAGCATAAATTGCATAATTTTTTCAAAATTTAAAATTTTTTACTGTTAAGACAAAAAAGCAATCCTGTATTTTGTTAATTATTTATAAAAATGTATTATATTTATACAAATTGCATACAAACATGTAATTGTCAAATTGCACTTTACAATTATACATATAAAAAATATTGGCACATGAAACGATAACGATAATACCAATATTTTATGAAATTACGCAAATATAATGTGATTTCACTCACCAGTCGTTGTATCCTAGCCAAGTACACGCACCAACTGTACCTAAAAAAATAAATATATATTTTAATTATTATAAATTATCATATATTTTCTATATATATATAATATATGTTATATATGCTTATTATTACGCATTATTTATTTTTATTTAAATTAAAACATAATTATATGTGCGATAATTTGTATAAATTATTTAAAAATTTTATAAATATTTGTTTTATTAAATATTTGAATATTTTCAAACATTTTAATAAATGTTTAATACAAGCTGTAACTGATATGTTATTGCTACAATCCAAACGCTCGGCTGTTCGCTTTAAGCACTATCAGATTTTAGTTATCACTATTATGTACATATTTAAGCAATAAATAAATAATCGTACCTAGCTAGAATATTGCAGTTTGCTTAACTCTGCAGATCCTGCCTCAGATTGCTCCATCTCACTCCAACCATCCAAAACCAATAAACACTAAAAACTTTGCGCTTGTTAGTTACACGTCAAATACCAACCCGTACACTTTACTTTCAAAAATCACGGATTTATGTCGCGAATATATCACGCAATGTACAAAACGCAAACGCGAGATAATGTAACTACGATGCTATGTACACACTCCGAGTAAGCGAGACAAATGACGACTGCATTGGCGGTCATGCGGAGGTCATCCAGTATGCTACACAATACCTATGTTTTATCCGATTTCGTCGAATCTCAATAAGCTAAACATGCTACATTCGTAAAAAGTATACCGTCTGTGTAGTATACATAACGTCTGTAGCATCAGGATCTCTGTACTTCTTGCTGGGGTTACCGGTTTCAATACACGGTACAGCTATCGACAAAACACCGTTCATCACAAACACACGTGGCAAATAATACATTCCGGCACTCGCCCGTCACTTTAATCGACACTCCCGACGAAAATTCGCACTCGTTACGCACTTTCACCGATAAAATACGGGATTAATCACGAAGGAGCATTCGCGCTTTGCGAAATCCATATCAATATGGCGTCAAAAAAAATTGTCCCAGAAGCCGAGAGGTGTCGCGCCTAGCGCAAAATGATCCATAATCGATACTATGCGCACCATCTTCTGGCCGCTGCAAGATTTAATTGCACGCGTCGTCTGCAATAAATCGTGCGTATATTAATTGTAAACGTATGAATTTCTATCAAAAGTTCCGTTTAAATAATAGACGGTCAGAACATATTAATTACGAGTAATCACAATTATTAGCTGCAGATTAAAACCTATTTAGAGTTTAGCTGCTAAATGAGTACGGATTCTGATACCGCAAATGCGCGAAAATTGAAACTACCTTCGCTAAAGAGGATTGAAATGCAATATACTTTTCACTAGACATGTTGGTAATTTAGATAGAAATTTAGATAATTTAGCTTGGAATTAAATCCGGTAAAACGTAGTACGTTTATCTCTATCACTTGCTCTGAGTGTGCAGTGTCGCTTGTAATTATGTGCGTAGACGAATCGCGACACAAAAGACATTTCTCTCGTATTTGTATTTCACCTAGCGTGTGGTAAATTCGTAAAATCCGCAAATCTGTAAAAAATAAAAATAAAATGCGCGAATTGACTTTTCTTTAATAAATGTGCATAACTAACAATAAGTGCAAATTTTCGATATTCATCGATTCTTTAATGAAGTTGACACAACAATAAACAATCCCAGGCAGAATTTGCAGCAGATGAAGCAAACAATAATATCCTAGCTGGTGAATATAATTTTCTAGTCATTATTTAATTATGTATATAATTACAATACTTAAAATCCGCATTGCTTGACTATTACGTTGGACATCATTAAACGCTAAGAAAAAAGTAATGATAAAGAGCTACGATTGTCTCTTTCTTAGTCAAGAATATTAAATATAATTTAACATAGAATATTATTATTAGAGGCCTCATCACCAGAGGCTCATATGCACGATAACAAACATATACTATATACATTTACAATTTATATTTATTAATAACTTATTGAAGTAGTTAAAAATATTTATTAAAATATTTAAAAACATTTATTAAAATTTTAAAGTAATTATTCACGCAATTTGTGTTATAATTGATAATTATATTTGAATCAAAATAAGAAATTTTTTTTAAATTATTAAAAATATTAATTAATTAAATGATATATAATAATCAACCTATATATTTATTTTTCAAAATATGATCAAAGATATACTTGACTAGGATACAACACCAATGAGTAAAACATTTAATATATTTGCATGATTCCACAAAATTGATATCAAAATTGATATTCCACAAAGTTGATATCATGCGCATCCTTTTTATCTGCTATTTATTAATTGCTACACTTTGATAAACACATTCTCATTTACAATTCATATTTTTACAAATTATAATGTAATAAAATTGATAATTATATTCTTTCTATCTTAATACATACATATATCTCATAATACAAAAATCTATACTTTACGCAGCTTACAAGCTTTTATATACAGAGATTATGTGTTTGTAGAAAGTTGATAAGGTACAATGCTAATCTTAATAGCCGAAGCATAGTAGTTGTCCCAAGAGTTGTCGTTATCAGACAAGCTGTACTCCGCGGAAATTGCGTCATTATGACATCTGCACATACTTAATGCAATGCGAAGCACCACTTAACGACAGATCTTATTGCCAATAAGTTGTATCGTCGTGAAATTGTCATATTCCTTGACTTAACTAATGTCAAAAAAGAAGAAGAATAGAGATAGAAATCGTTCAATTTTTATTTCTATTTTACTATTTACATTTTGCACCATTCCATTTTCTTGCCATTCACATTTTACCATAAACAGTCTCTTAAAATCTCATTAAACTAATTTTTCTAACGCCAAAGTTCATCACGTTTAAGAACGCTTACATTATTCACCATATACTGATAAATTGCATTTTCCTCGCACTGTAATTTTGCATGGGAAAATTACATTAAATTTCCTAGCGAACGGAGCGTTTCTTCGCCTAATTACCTTTACCCTTTAACCTTCCTACGATTTCCATCTCATGAACCTTTCATTACTAATTGTAAGTGCTGATATTGCACATTTGCTATAGACCGTCATGTGCGTGTAAATGCTCTGCTATGTGTTGCTATTACGTAATTTCTATATCTATACGGCAAATATCTCCATATGGCACGCTACAGTGTACTGAATATAAAGTGATCAGTCTGTTTTCATTCATTAGTGCATTAAAAATACATATACCAATAAAGAAAATGTACTATGATCATTATGATAATTAAGATAATGGATAGTTATTTCATATTTACAAAGGATGCAACGACAACAATGGTATAAACAACATATATCAGATAACTTCTTATATAAAAATAAATCAAATTTACAAAATAAGTACATATTTTTGTAAAATTGTATTTCTATAAAAATCAATTTTATAGATTGAAAAAGTAATATCTTTAAAATTTTTTAAATTGGAAAAATAATATCGTTTTTCTTATTTAAGATTTAATAATTTTCAACGTTTTTATCTTGTCTATATATGTTGTATCTTGTCTATGTTGTACTACCGTCTACGGCAGTATAATTAAAAAACTACATGTCATTAATAAGAAAAAAGAATTAAAAATAATTTGGATTATTGAAAATTTTATGTAAAATATTTAAATCTTTCTTATATTTTTTTAATAAAATTTCGTATTTATAATATATTCATAAAAACAATTTTAATAATTTGCAACAAAATATTTTTAAAGGTTATTCTAATTTAATAAAAGAGAAGAAAATATTAATTTTTCAACACCATAAATTGATGTTTTAGAAAAGTTTTTATAAAAATAATTTATGCTACAATTTATTTTTGTGATAAATTATAGGTATGTGTTTGCACCATCACTCTACATATATTTTATTAATGGTACACATTATCAATTTTAAAAAGTAAAAAGTATATAAACACTTATATTTAGAATATTTTTTACACAAAAGTAATTGTTAATTTTATTAATTATTTTAGTATTATTATTATTATATTATTATATTTTAATTAGAAGCAGTAAGTTGAGCAAGCTACTTTTTTAATTAATTAAGGCAGTTGATACGAGAGGTATATCGTCTCGCCAGGGCTAGTTGAGCTAATCTATAAATTAAATAACGTCTCGTAATTATACCCCAAGCCACATTTGTTGTGCAACTACGGATTTTTCTTTTTACCTACGATTCTATCTAGCGACAAAATTACGAACTTTGCTGCAGATTGCAGCTGTCACGGCGAAAGGATATATCCATTACTTGCTTTGAGCATTACAATGTTACAACTCTTGCACACATGAAGCACTTCCCGTATCACTTTGATACCACCTACATAACATCGACGAGAAATATGATTACAGTTTTAATTGTGTAAAGTGATAACCGTAATCATCGAGCGAATTTAAATTTAATAAATAAATCTGATAAATAAATTCACAGGCAAACAAGCGTAACACGCAGTATATAAATTAAATTATATTGTGTGTAATTGAAAAACCCTTCACAGAATTGACTGATTTATTTTATAGAGAAAAAGAGAAAAAAGTTGTTTTATATTATTTAAATATATTATATTATTCAAATTTATTACCTCAATTAAATTTTATATTTTTTGTTCAAGTCCTACTATTTCATGATCTTAAGATCATAAGATTAACGTACTTTCTATGTAAAGGCCACATAAAAAAGCATTAACATAAACGACGTGATAAAATTTTACGACACGCAAAGAACATATCAAAGATCACTATAATTAGCACCGTGACTAGAATAATGAATGTCTCGCTATAAAAGACGTATGCAACAGATATCATTACAATACGAAGTAGAACCATACTTTCAAGCTAACAAAATATTTTAGTAGTAAGAATTTTCTTTAAAAAAAAAATAATATTTTATTTTTAATCCAAACTTATCCAAGTTACCCAAACTTTTACTTTTTATACAAAAAATGAGTATTATTACTTTTTTTAATGATGTCACTTTTTTAATATCAGAGAAAACGGAAATAATTCTAAAAATATAAACAGAGAAATGTATTTAGAATATTCATATAAATTAGATTATTCGTATAAATCAGGATATTTATATAAATTGATCGTAATTATCAAAATAAAATAAAATAAATTTCTCTATTCAAATGAAATCAAACTGTTCCTAATTACGATATGCAAATTACGTATTGACCGAAAATATTACATTAATATCTATTATCACTTGATTACATAATACAAACAATAATTATATAAATGATATCAAAATCATATTCGCCCACTTTTATATCATTTATGCAATGATAGAAAAAGTTTCTTCATTAAAGTAAATTGAAGACAAATTCAAAGTAGAGTTTCTGGTTATAACAAAAATAACGACGACGTGCATAATATCTCTATAACTTTGCGACATATCATTACAGCTTATTATTAGGTGATTACTTTCAATATCTTGTTTTATTCTCACGTATATACTTTTACGACGCACTTTACTAGCTAGATTAAATAGCTAGAACTTTAGACGGTATATGCGTTAAAAATTGAATTTTAAAAAACAATTTTTTAATTCAAATTTACCTGATAATCAAGATATAAATTGCATTTTCGTTAATTAGAGAAATATAGTAATAAAGAAATATATATGTCTATTGATAAAGAAATAAGTCAGTTTTTAAAATCTCAGAAAATAATATAAAAGTATATAATATAATAATCTCTCTAAAAAGATAAAACTTGTGGTTATTGTAGATATTATACTTCAAAGTCTTCTTTTTGTTATACATATCGTACATTAAAACTACATTATTGCAGAAAATGATAATTTTGACTCATTATAATTCTATACTCGTCTTGGTAGTCACGATTAAAAACTTAATCTGTAGAAATTTAATTTGACCCTCGCAACAAATTGATTTTTTTTTCTCGTCGCAGCGTTTCATAACGCGAGTTTAATATTACGCGACTAGCAACTAGAGGAAGTGGCCACGTTATCTCACGATTTAATGAAAAACCATGCACACATTGTACTTATGGAATTTCACAATGCTTTGTTTAATCCAATAAAATTTCACAAAAATCACTCTAAACACTGATAAGAGGAAGAGCTTCTAGAATGTTAATAAGTTTCACCGTGCTGCTGCACGGAAGCCAAAAAATTCCAAAGGTTGCCCTTTCTCGAAGGAATCTCGACACAACTAAGTGATCTTATCAGTTCCGCTGCCATGGAATTCACGCCTGACAAAAAGCTGTGTCTGAAGCTATCTCAGCAAAATAATCAGATTTAATCTAAACACATCATATTAAAAAAAAAGAAAAAATATGTCGCGTTAATAAAAATTTATAGTGTATAAATAATAATGGCTGCGTCAAGAATAAACAATGAAAATAAACAAGACATTCGCTATGTGCATTTCATTCATGCAGCTATCGTTTATACAGCGCGAGATCCGTGCACTATGAAATATGGCACAAGGCATCTAGGCAACAGCACGTTACAGTATCGTCACGTATAAACGTACTTTTTCTCGTACAGCTAGAGAAGTACCAAAGAAAACATTTTAACGTTAATATGAAACACATATAAATCGCATAATATATAGATAATATTATTTCTGCACTTGCCCAATTTATAGAAAGTGATCCATTCAAAATAAATTATTTATTTAAAAGATAAATACTTTTGATCAACTTATAATAATATAATATTACACTCTTATTTCTATAAATATTTGCGATATTCTCTCCATTATTGGAAAACACGTTAGCCCAATAATTGGTTTGTGAAACAAATAAAATGTTAATAAAACTTGAAAAAAAAAGAATGCAATTGCTGTACAAAATACGGATACAATTGCGTGAATGCAAATGCAATACTTTACGATTCTCAGAAGAGAGTGATTTGCTTTAAGAGGGTCACTGCGCGCTTACATGTACATATGGGATATCGCGTGGGGAATGCAAGCTGATAATAAACTTATCACGTGGCAGTTGTTTGCAACCAGAAATCCAACTTACCTATAAAGCAACCAATTCTAGTAAGTAATTTATAATAATCGCACAAACTGTTTGAACTAAATATAAACATGCACATGCATAATAATATGCGCACACGTAAAGTTAGAAGCTATTTAATCTAAGAATTTTATTTAATCTAAAAGCGTATTTATACCCAAAGGAAATTTTATATATTAACAGAACCTTAAATGAAATGTAAAAAAATGCATGAATATGCAAATAATATCATTTGAATATTTTAATATTCCTCTTAGTAGTATTTTTGTTGTTTTGAAAAATTTAACACAGAAAGATCCGTATGCTAGCCATAGCACATTTTCTACATAAATTTTTTCTCAATGTTTTGAAAAATATTTTCAGTTGTCTCTGTTTTCTTTTTTTTTTATAAAACTGTATAATTCTTTTCCACATATTTTTTGACAGGCAAATTTAATAAATTTAATTTATAAAATTAAATAAAAATTACATTAAAATGAATAATCGCGTTTTATAATATTATATAAAATATTTCTGTTACAAACGCTTTTAATCCTTAATAGCTTGAGATTTACAGTATCGCGAGAAGTTATTCTGACAACAAATTTATTGCAGAATACCAGACCATTTGTTCTCTTTCCGTAGGCTTAATGCTCGTATAATACCTTCCAGATTCCGTCTAGGTTCGACTGCTTCACGATAATCCTTGATGTAATTAATTTATTATAAGAGTAAAGCACACTTGGACACCTCCGTAATTGAATCTACACTAAGATCCTGAATTCATCGATTACAATTGTGTAGTTTACGACACACTAGTGTGATTCAGTGATGAATCTTTTTATATGCTCAGCACAATGGCAACACATGTATGAATCGTAAAGTAAATCATAAAAATAAGTCGAGGGACAAGTAAGAAAAATTCTCTGCAAAAATCTTGCACTTATATATATATAGCCTTTAACATAATCACCGGCAATAAAAAAATAAAAAATTGCCAATATCTCGAAACGTAAAATCTGAGGCACGTCGTACCGGTAAAACGTTTATTGTTATACTGTTTCAAAGTCGATACTACGCCGACAGCACATAGTCACTTTGGAAACTCGAAGCTACACTGCTCCACAAAGTCGCCTTTAGGTAATATGCATTTCGCGTATCGAGTTTCTCGATGATGGGAGGAATCGCGATTTTCTACATCGTAGCCAAAGGATCGGCTTTGTTCATACTCAACGGTCATTTTTATCTCGTAAAGGATAATGAAGCTGATTTTCTTGGTTCTCCATTTTTCCGCTCCGACCTTTCCTTTTACGTCTCAATCTTCTGTTGACCATGCGACCATCGCACGCCATTGTTATCCATTTGTAGTGACAATCCGGACATGAAAATCAATCGATCCCTTAATATAATCTCACGCAGGGCAAATTGAGGCAATCGAGAGGAACGGGAGACGAATTGTAAGCATTTTGAACTTCAACTGTGACTCGTTTATCACACTCTAGCTAACGCGTTGTAGAAATACATCAGCCTTCAGTTCCGACAGAACCACACTGGTGTAGAACCGCATGTTTCAAATTACTTTAATAATAATGCCTAAAATGTACTACATTACGAATATATTCCTATCATCCTGCCATTGAAATTAGTTATTAAAGTGGACTAAAAAAGCAACTGGATACCATAAATGAAGCGATCAAAATTAAATTTGTGCTATATACATTTGTCAAAAATATTCGATAAAACAAAATGTGATCTATTAAGTTACTCTAATGTTTCTTAATTATTTTTGTACATGCAATTGAAACAATTTTTAAAATCATTAAAATTTTCATTTTTAAAAAAGGCAACTCTGCTCGTGATAGAAAGAGCAGTCACGTTGAATATAAAATGTCGCTCTCGATTTGACTTGCATGAATCCGTTCAGTTTTTTATTTTGTTAATATACTTTCAATATACTTTCAAAGTTATTTTAATATATTGATTAAATTGATTCATCTACTATGTATATGTGATAGCGTTTTTTTACGAAAAATATTATAACTGATCAAAAAAATATATGCAAATTATTTAAAAATAATGTGCAAATATTTCTCTTATGTAGGTTTTATTTCTACTAACGGTTTACAATCAATCCGACTTGTTTATTCGCTCTTCTTAGTTGTATGCCCTTTGATCTTTCATACAGAGATGCTGCATAGCAAATCTCACTTTGTGGCAAACTCTGTTTGCAAATCAGTAGCTGTAGGTTGGATACGTCTGTTAGTAGCCAGTAAAATCAACAGAATACCACACCAGCAACGCTTTTAGTTGCAATGGCTGTCGCCTGATATTGAATGGAGTTGCGAGCAGAAGAAAACTTGGAGAAATTTGAAAGTTTATAAATGTTGAAAATGGTTTTGTAAATGTGGTTTCTAAAGAATCCGGTTTGTTTCATCTAAGGTGCTTCTGTGATAGTATGCTCGGAGGTTTAATAACGGAAAAGATTCTTGGAAAACTTTGTTTACAGAAGTGTTAACAACTACATTTTACTTTTTACTTTCTCTCTCTCTCTCTCTCTCTCTCTCTCTCTCTCTCTTTCTCATTAAACATGTCTGTTTCAGTGACTAGAAAATACAAGGGAAACTGCGAACTGGACGAACAGTGCTATATCTTCGGTCCGGATGCTATCTGCAGCAACAAAGAGTGTATATGTGACGAGAATGTTTCCCACTATGTGGAAAGCGAACTCTTTTGCTGGATAAGCAAGAAAGCCGGTGAAGATTGTAAGAAGAATCAAGACTGTTATGTGAAAGATTTCAAGGGCGAACTAATATGCAACGGCACATGCGACTGTCCCAATGGCAAACACTTAAATGAAAATAAAACGGCTTGTATAGATAACAACTCAACAGGTTAACAGTTAACAGAGTTAATTCTTTATTTGCATAATATAGATATAAAATATAGAAATCTATAATTTAGAAATATTTTAGGACTTGGAGGAATTTGCGAAGTATGCAGTAATTGCGCGACACCACACAGCGTTTGCAAGAAAGAAGTGTGTTCATGTCGCGATTTCTATTATCCGTCAAATGATCAATGTTTGGCAGGTAATATTTTATCAATTTATTAATTGTAAACTTATTAATTTTTCTTATAAAAAGCTTACATATATTATATATCGCAATTTTTAGAAGCACATTATAAATTTCAAAAAATAATATATAAATTACTAATGCAATGTGTAGATAAGATTCAATAGTAATTAAACATAAAAACGTAATGCAATTATTAAATTTTAGGTATCAATTCTACCTGCGTAAATAACGAAGATTGCACGCCAGAGAATTCCGAGTGTAAGTCTGCAATATGTTCTTGTCAACCGAATTATATAGCTGTGGATACCGACTCGTGCGTACCAAGTAAGAATTTGCATTTCACTTTTAAATAAAGTATTGCAAAAATTTTTTACATTATTATCTTTTTAATGTATAAATGTATAAAGATAAGTTTATAGATATTCTATATATGTTCTAACATATAATATTTAGTATTATCGTTCGGCGAATCATGTTCACTGGATATTCAGTGCTCTGTCAATGT